CCGCGGCGGCGGAGTCGCCTGCTGCGCGCGCGCCTCGCCGGGTCCTGCCCTGACTTGCCCTGCGCCGGCGGGGGCGGGGGCGCGTGTGTATGTGTACGTGGGCCTATGCTTTACATTTGTAAAGCGCCGAAGGGGGCTTTGCCGCACAGCACAACATGAGGATCAGGCAGATTTGCTCCAATTTTATTTTAGGAAGGTGCATTTCACTCCCCGCCTAGCAGCGTCCGACGGCAGATCCGGGTCTTGCTCCCCAGATCTGCTCCTTCCGTCTCCTGGGATAGCCGCTGATAACTAACCCCAGCTCCTTGCTTTCCCTTGCCAGTTGCCTGAGGAGCTGCACCTCAGTCTCCACTTGGATCATCTCGTGTGTGATGGAGGAGCTCTGGCTCTGCTGCTGGCTCTGTTTTGCTAATTTTTCTCCCTCTTTGGTCTGGAGGTGCCCAGCATTAGGTGCACAGTGGCCTCTTTGAGACTTGTGCAGGCAGCTTGTGACTGGCTCATGTCCAGCTTTGTGTTTACTGCCAGCCTCGGGTTTCTTTTAGGATTTTGGCTTTCCCCTCCGCTCTTTCCTCTTCAAATAACATTTCCTTTAGTGCAGTGTTTCTTAGCCTGGGCCCTGCGGCACCCTGGAGTGCCTTGAGGCCCTTTTAAGGGTGCTGCAGAGTGTTGGCACTGGTTGGTGCGCAGGCAACATTCATACGATAAACACGGAGATTTCAAATAGAAACCCTGCGTCAAAGCCATTCTGCCCTGTTGTGGTCTTGCTGAGGTCTTTGTAGCAGAAGAATTGCTCTCTTATTTTTCTCTAGTCAAAAGATAGCGAGAGCTAAGAGCTGGCATTTTTCTAGGGGTGCCTCAGGTCTATCAAGGGGCACGTCAAGCCTAAAAAGGTTGAGAACCACTGTCCTAGCCTGTTTGGTAAGGGTTTATTCCCTATTAGGTTAGGGAACCCCCCTCTCCCCGTCCAAAGAAAAATCTGTTGATGAAAAAACTGATTGAAAGGTTTAGCTGATGTCAAGTGACACCTCAACTTTATTTTTTATTGCCTCTCATCTTCTTGTAATGACTTCTTTCATCTGTGTTTATTTTTACATTGCAGAGTAGTATGTTAATAAATTGGTAGGGAATTTCATTTTTCAGCAACTTGTCACAGCTTAGGTAGTTTACAAACTAGTCTCCGGTGTTCCCTGGAGCCCTTGACAGTAGTCTGTCTAGAGTTGGGTGTCTTTACTATTATCCATTTTATTAGTGGAAAGCTTTGAGCATGTAAAGCAGCTGGGTATGAGTACATGGCAGCTTATAGGGTGCCTGTAGATGTGCTGGGACGCTGCTCTGACATGCTGAAATTACAGTGTGCCGATTAGTGTGCTCCATCCAGCTTCCACCTCTTGTGTATTGGTGTCCCCGTGCTTCAAAATGGCAGCAGGGGCACTTTAACAAAAGTTTGTCTAACTGAGAGCTGTTCTAATTGAAGCCCTAATTAAAGCCCTTGGAGAGCTGCTCTAATTAAAGCACCCCTGCACCCCTGGAGCATGTGTAAAAATGCCAGTAGTTCTCAACTACTGAAGAGGAAGAGAAACAAGGCATCTACAGAGCTGCAGTCCACTAGTACCTGCATCTGGCCCATGGGGGAAGGAAGTTAAGTAGCAGGGGAGAAAGTGTCCAGAGGGGAGAAGAGGACTAATCATATGTTGAAAAACAGAGGAGAAGAGTTAAAAAAGTCTCTCAGATTTTTCTGGTTTGAAGGTAGAAGATTGTTTTTAAGTAAATTCCAAAAGACTCCTTCAGACTTCTAAGTAAGCGTTGTCTTGTCCTTCCCCATCCCCTTCAGAACACTGACTTGGTGGGACTTTTCCATCACTAAAACTTATCAAGCCTTTGGAAACCAGCCATTGATTTTAGAGTTGTCACATCTTTCAGATTTTTGCAGTTGTAATTCCTACAGCCATTAGAAGATGAGTGTATAATTCCTTGTGACCTCTATAAGTGCAGAGTTCATAGGAAGGTTCAACAGGAACACTAAGTGGTTATCTTGATAGTTGGCATCCTTTTATTTCCTTTACCATGTCTCCAGCCTGCTTCCAGAACAGTTTGATTCTGGGACATGTGCAACACATGTAGTAGAATGTTCACCAAACAACCACCCTCCCTCCAACATTTGCCCTTACCATAAAAGCATTAAATTTTGAGTGGCGTGAGATACCGCTGATATAAGATTTTAAAATAACTTTCTTTTATTATTGTGTGTGACCATTATTTCAGATAGTCTCCCATTTTTTCAACACTATTTTCTGATCCAATGTCATAAGCCCACTTTGCCATAAATTGAGTTTATTCATTTTCTGTAAGGAACAAAGCATGGATAACTATGAACAGTTACAGGACATGAAATACATTTCTCATACTACTTTTTTGTTGAGCTTTTGTGGTGTGTGAGGATTACAGGTATGTTATCACAATACAAGGAAAAATGCTCCATTGAGACACTAGGTTAAGATGCCATCTAGCCTTTGCAAAAATGTGAACCCTTGATTGAACAGACACAGACTAAATTGTAATTCCTTGATCTCTAAGATATGGCAATGTTCAGAATTTTTTTATAAAAGGACTGTGTTCAGGCCGTTGGCTTCCATCAGAGTTGTACAGGCCCTATTCTGCTATGATGAACAGTGTTAGCATTGCTACTCTTCACTGAACTCATTTGGAAGTTCAGAATGTAGATGAGTGAAAAGTGGGTGGGTATTAGAATTGCCTTAAACTAGATACAGAAACGCAGCCCAGAGTTAAGAGCATCTTGGATAATTTTTTTATGGCTGTTAATGAGATATAGGAAGGGCCAGCTGATATTTTTTAAACGATTAATATTATATGGATGTAGACAAATCATTAAAAAATGTCTTCTACAGTCCAGAATTCAGTGTCACTGAAAACAGTACAGAGAGTTGTTAAGGTGTAAACAGATGTTGCATAAAAAAATCTTATGGCAGCACAGAGGCCAAGCCAACAGATATACATGCACCTTGTTGTGCCACACATGCCCAAAATTTGTGGTGTGATTTTTGTGCCACTGTTTTGCAACCAATATCTGTTTGCTTTAAGGCAGGAATCCCCATTCCTGGGATGTGGAGGATCAGGCCTCTGAAGCCTCAGGAATGTCTACCTGGGTTCTCCTGTTTGGGATTCCCTGGGTGCGCATCAATTCAGTATGGTCCCAGGCCTGGAACTGTCAATCAGCTGATCTCTTTCATTGAGTGAAACGTTGCCTGTGGTCCTGTCCACTGCCCCTATGAGACATGGGGCAAAGTGTTGCCCACTTACCAGATGCACCCCAGGAATCAGCAGTCTCAGCCCTGGCACTGCGCTGGAGCAAGTTCAGTCTTCTGGTGTGGTCCTGGGGCTGGGACCACCAATCAGCTGATTTCCCCCACTGGCCTTCCCTGCTTGCAGAGATTCTCCAGGGTGCATCTGCTATGCTAGTGGGGAACATATTGCCCGTTATCCCACAGGATCAATAAGTGGGACAATGGGTGATGTGTGTTTCACTTAGTTAAACAGATCAGCTGTGGCAGGAGATGCATGATGTCTGTGTATATCCTTATATGTTAAGAGGGACTTTAATCTACAATTAGAAATACTGAGCCAGGTGAACCGCTATCTTTTTTCATATTACTTCTCTGAAAGCAGCCTAGTTTGCATTGTTAAAACGCCCAATTTTATATGAAAAAGTGTTGATATACCTGGGACATTTGCTACAGTGTGAAGCGTTGCACTTGGAAGCTAGTGATGAAATATGCAGTCATTAAGGACAGAGTCTATTAATACACATCAAATAAATGATTGGGAAGGATACTTTTAATTCTTTAAAATATTGTTCCTGCTAGGTTTGTATTAAAGTGAAACTTTGCAGATGGGAAGCCCTGATGCAGATCAGTTCTATGTATGATTTTTTTTTAAACTGCTATTATGTCCAGTGCACTATGTGCAATCTATAAAAATACCTTATGTACTCAATTAAAAGATGAGGTTTCCCCACCTGCCTATCTAATGTTGGAGGTGGGGAGGGGGAAAGGCCCCTTGACTTACAATTGAGTGTGGGGGGCTGGGGAGGCAGCTGCTGTGGCTCTGGCTTTGGCCCTAACCTGGGGTTGCAGGGGGCAGAAGCTGTGTAGCGGGGGAATAGGGGAAGGGGGATCGGGGCCCTGAGGCTGTGGGGGGCATGCACAATGGGGTAAGTAGAGGGAGGGGGCAGACAGCTGGGGGCCTGCCTTTCTTACTGCCTATCCCCCCACCTCTGCACTGCATGTCCCTTACCATGTGTCCACCTACTACCTGTCTCTCATTGGTCTTTCCCCTGCCTGCCCTATTACTGTCCCCCTCATCTTGTCTCCCCCTCCTCCCCCCTACCTGTAGTAGTGCTGGGGGGGATGAATTTAAGATCTACAATAATTAGATTCCATTCATGGAGAATTATAATAAACTTATACATTTTCTGTACGTAGAATCTAATTATTGGGAGGGGTCATCTTAAATTCAGGGTCATCTTATATTTGGGCAAGTACAGTAATCATGACTATACATGGTGGAAAGTACTCAGAACTGCTTTTCTTGTAATGATTTATGTACAGAAATGGTGCTAGCAGGTCTTTAACATGTATTCTAGAATGCATTCAAATCTGAAAAAAGAGGGCAGTTGGTAAATATCTTTAAAAATCTTAACAAGCCTATTTCCTTTGCTTGGGATGAAACATTCCCTACCAGACTGCAGCCAGGTTTGGATGTCTTAGTAGATGTAGATGCTGCATATGTGCTACTGTACAATGGATTTAAAAAAAAAAATGAACAGCTCTTGTAGAAAGAGAATACCTGAATGAAAGAATAAATCAAAGTGACTTAGAAGAACGCCCAAAAAAACCAAGACCAGCTTCTTAGTTCAAACTGTCCCACATATATAAAATTAAACTTGTACATTATACCCTGTATTTTGAGATGATAATATTCTCCTTGATCTCTGGACCAGTTAATGACAAAGCTTGATTCTGAATGCTCACTCTAATTTTATTGATTTGGGAGAGCAGTTTCAGCCCATTTATTAATGGTTTGCATTATTATAATTGGTATCAGAAACTTCTCTTTAACAAATCTCCTTGCTCTTGCCAGGCAGCAAAGCCATCTCTGTATGTTAAAGGTATGGCAATTCTGTATCTTTTTTACGTTGAAAATACTCATTAACAGTTTTTGTTCCCATAATTCTAGTAAGACTACTATAGTAAAAAGTTGTTATGAACTTTGTAAATTGCAATAAATGAAATGGAAATTTTCATGCTGTGGCTCTAGTCTTTTTCTCCTTGTTTTTTTTTTTTTATCCACTTGGATAACTTTTCCCTGGTAAATGCCTTGAGAGCCACAAGTCTGCCTCTAGTTACTGAATCTTTAAACTCTGTATTTGAGTTGCTTATCTAAGTACTTTTCCCTCTCCTCTTTTTTTTTTTCCCTCGCAACCTACCAGGACTGTGAACATGAGCCTGCGGAAGCAAACCCCTAGTGACTTCTTAAAACAAATAATAGGAAGGCCAGTTGTTGTAAAGTTAAATTCTGGAGTGGACTATCGAGGTAAGTCATTCCTTCACTCCTACAATAAATAAGTAATATTTAGTCTTATTGTTGATGAGAGGAAAAGAAATACAGTCTGTTACTTAAAAAAAAAAAGGCAAAAAAAGATAATCCCATCATTTAGACAGGCAAAAAAACCTTTGTGGCAAGGTTAAATTCTTGGCACTTTTGTTTGTTCTCTGCGGTAATGTGGTTATGTTGGCCTTCCTCAAAATAGAATTGCTCTTATAGTAGTTGCTACTCATGTTAGATTCTGACAGTTGTGTTGTAATGGTGCAATTTCCTTACAGTGACAGTGTATCTCAGTAATAATTAGGTGCTGCAGATGCATTTGTGGCACCATGTACCTCATGGCCATGCTTGTCTGGACATGACCACTGAGCCTATCCCTGGCCTGCTGGAAATGGACCAACTGCTGTAGCTTGTTTTCTGGGGTTGGAGCTGTGTTGTAGTTGCTGTGGTGGTCCATGAAATATGTGCAAAGCAAGGCTTTTTAATTTTGATGACTTCTTTTATTGAACCAACTGTATAAAGTTAGGGAAGATTTTAGATAATCCTTGGTTCTGTATCTCCCACCAGATTCATCTCCAACTGCTGTTTACAAACTCCTTCTGCTTCCTTTTCTAGACCACATTCTTTAATGGCTTGATATCCCCTTAGGCCTGACTCTAAGATCTAAGAAGCATAAACTATTGTTCACTTCAGAAGTCTTATCCTTTTGTTTCCTGTTTGCTTCCCTTTGATTTACCCAGTCATGCAGGTTATATGCACTCAGATTACCTGTTTTATCCCTATAAAAAATACACAACTTCCTCATTCCCACACTAATTCAAGCTGTATTTTTTCAAAAATTTTAAAAATATTAAAAAAAAAAAAAAAAGGAATTCAGGCTCTTGTATCTATTTCTGCTTCTAGACAGTGTTGCTAATTGTATGTTGTTTTGCAAATGTGGCTGTATAGCTGCAGAATATCTTGATTTGTTGCCAAATGAATGTGCATATTAAAGGAGAGAGGGCTTGAAAATGCACAATCGTAATTGGTACATTTTAACTGCATGACTTGCATGCCTGTACTCATGTGAGCATGTATGGAAAACTTCATACTCAGCATGAAAGCAAGGCTGGGTAACAGTGACACTTAACACTAGTTGTGGCATTAGAATAGAGAAAATACAAACGGAAGGGGAAAGGAGAGAAGTAAACAAGTCTGAATTCACAGCCTCTTTTGTTCTGGGTGTGCAAATACTACTTTTTAGTATCTGCTGAGTGATACCTTTGAGAGAGACTGTCCACTTAAGCCTAATTTTTCTGGGAACCATTTTTCCCTAAGATTACTAAACTGAAAGAAGACAGCTGGAATAAAAGGAGTTCTGACTTCCATTTTGTTCATTTAAAGCCTTTTGTGCATAGCCAGTCCAGTTCTCCTGTTTGTGTAGAAATAGAGGAAAGAAAAACACGGGAAAATATGATCCTAAAACCATAAAAGTTGGCAGGAGACTTTAAATTCCCAATTATTTAATGGAAGGTCTTGCAGTAACGTGGCTGGGAAGTGAGAATGTGTCCTAGAGGAGAGTCCTTTGCCCAGATATTTTTCCACATTGCTATTTTATAGGGCAGTTATGCAATTAAATTATAATTATTTTAGCTTGTGCTAGACCCAAGAAGTGCTGGGTATCCTCCAAACAGAGAGGAAAGTATGGTTCTAATTCTAAAGACGTTATCATCCAAAAAGGCAAAGATGAGATTTAGATAACAAAGATACAAGAACCTCAGGGTGGGAAGGGTAAGCTGACTTCTTTACTACTTCCCTTAGTATTGCAGTTAAAAATCACATTTTTCCAATAATTCCGAAGTTACAGTTCAGGCCTCTCTTGTTTGTGTGTGCATGTGTATATTTTTGCACTTGTTATTCTTAACATTCAGTTCATTCCCTCTACATAATTGAATAATTTGTTCATCAGGTAAATTTAAAAAGTTAATAGAGCACTATGGCCCTTCTTCTCTTCCATAACTCCCTCATAGAAATGAACCCCTCTTGTAAGACCCAGTTCAGTGTTATAGAAAAAAACACTGAACTGGAAGGGGCCTCAGGAGGTCATCTAGTCCAGGGTTGTTTGACCCTGGCCCAAATCTATCACCTGTCACTGTCATCCTGCTTGCAGCCCTCCCCCAAGTCCATGGAGATCCCTGCAGGCCATGCCCCTGAGACTTAGATTGGGCATGCATGGTGGCATGGGCCTCAGTACCAGTGGGCAGGCTCTGATCTGGCTCTGCCGCCCATGAGGCCTAATGGTTGAGTGCCATTGATCTAAGCTCCTGAAAGTCAGGATTGTCCCTTTAGTCAAGAGCTTGTCTAACCTTCTGTTAAAAATGCCCATGGACTGAGATTCTGCAACCTCTGTAGGTAATCTTTTCCAATGCCTAATGGCCCTCCTAGTAAGGAAGTTCTTCCTGATATCCACTCTAAATTTTACTGAAATTTGAGACCGTTACTCTTAGTCCTGTCCCTTGCAGCCACAAACAGTCTATCTTTATATCCTATTTATAACCACCCTCTAGATCAGGGGTTCTCAAACTGTAAGCAACTTAAAAGGGGGCTGCAAACTTCTCAGGGGGTACCGCGGGGAAGCGGTGCGCAGCAGTGGTGGGCAAGGGTGGTTGGAAGTGGCTGATGTGTGCGAACTCCCTGTCCCCCACCACCGCCATCCAGCACTCGGAGTTGCCGTAGCACAAAGTTTGAGAACCCCTGCTCTAGTTATTTGAGGATTTATCAAATTCTTCTCAGTCTTCTCTTCTTTAGACTAAATAATCTCAGTTCTTTTCAGTCTTTCATTGCAAGCCATATTTCCTGTAAGTCATGTTTCCCATCGTTTCTGCTGCTTTCAGTTGGACTCTAACCAGTCCACATCTTTCTTGAAGTGCAGGGCTGAAAACTGGAGTGGTAATCTAGATGAGGCCTCACCAATACTGAATAGATTAGAAGGATCATTTCCTTTTTGATTTGCAAGTGACGTTCCTGCTAACACAATGCAGTGTGCTGTTGGCTTTTTTGGCAACAAGAGTATCCTGTTGGCTCATTCATCTTATGGTCCATTAACTCCCAAGTCTTTTTCTGCAGGACTACAGCTTCACCAGTTGTCCCCCAGTCTGTATTTGTGTATAAAATTGTTTCATCCTAAGTACAGGACTTTGCATATGTCTTTGTTGAATTTCATTTAATTGATTCAATTTTATCAAGGTCATTCCGAATTATAGCCCTCCTCTCCAGAGTTTCTGCAACTCCACTAACTTGGTATCATCTGCAGATTTGCTAAACATGTATCCAGTCCCATCCTTTTTATTAATGAATATACTGAATAATACCAGACCCAGGTGTGTTGTTTTGTTTAAACCTGGCATATTCTGATACCCTATATAAGATTGATTACCCTTTGGATACATCTCCAAGGCACCATTCTGATGAAAAACTGAACCTCTTGTATAACTTTCCTCTCTGTTTATCTAGCTGCATCTGAAGTTCCATTTTAAGATACATAGGTTCCACTTTAACATGCCACTTTTTGGTAGATGCAGTGCTTCAGGTAAATCAGATGTCTTTTATTAAACCAACTCAAATAGTTGGAAAAATTCTTCTTTGCAAGCTTTTGGGTACAAACAGCCTTCATCAGGCTGAGCCTGAAAGCTTGCAAAAAAGAATTTTTCTAACTATTTTGGTTGATCTAAAAAGATATCAGATTGACTCAAAGAACCTTGTCTGCCTATGTCCTTAGACCAACACAGCTACAACTTATACCCCTGAAACTTTTTGGTAGTGCTTCTGTTCATTTACATATTATCAGCTTTCAAAGCAGAAGTCATTGACTGAATAGCTAGCTGCTGCTCTATGAGTGATGAGGTTGGTGACAGTTATTCATTGTTCGTGGTTGACCTGTTTTTTAATTGGCTGAGAACAGGCTGCATGTATATGTCATTTTTCATCTATGTATAGTGTGGTGTTGTACAGAAGTATTCGGTATCACTATCCCATTTTATAGATGGAGAAACTGAGGCATAGTGATTAAGTGACTTGTCCAAAGTCACCCAACAGATCAGTGACAGAACAGGGAATAGAACCTGGGTGTCCTGGGTTTCAGTCTAGTGCCTAGTTTGATAGGTCCAATCAGATTTTCTCTACAGAGAAAATGTGGGTTTTAGTGTGGTCTGTTCAGTGAACAAGACAATCAGATTCACAGTTAACTGTGTAATTTTGAAATCTAATCTGTTTTAAATATTTTTTAATTGGCTTTTATTGTCTCCAGGTGTCCTGGCTTGTCTGGATGGGTATATGAACATAGCATTGGAACAGACTGAAGAATATGTAAATGGACAGTTAAAGAACAAGTACGGGGATGCATTTATCCGAGGAAACAATGGTAACTCTTCCCTGGAATACTCTGAATTAGAAAATCTTATATATACGCAATTTTGAATCTGAGGCATCTGTAAGGACAAAATTAGGTGTTTCCTGTCAGTAGCCACATCGACATTCTTATGTTAAAAGCCTGTGTGGTTTTTTATTTTTTTCCCCCCCCTCTTACCTGGTGTACGTGTTCCGTTCCTAATTTCCCTTTTACAGATCCGTGTTGGATCTTTCCCTTGCTTGGCTTTGTGTTTTAATTTATATATGCAATAGCATGAGGGATGAGTGGGTGAACAGGGTGCAAATCCTGGGCACTGGTTAAAGGGGGGGGGGGGTCTTACCCTGCTGTCCCCCACTCTCCCTCTTCTTGCAGCTTTCCAGTTTCAGCTCCAGAAGTGGTGAAGGAGGATGCGACTGAGGGAAGGGCATCCTGGGAAATGTAGTCCTGTTGAGTGGCAGCAGGCAAGGCAGGAAGAATAGCTAGAATTTACCCTGCTTGGAGGGGGGACCCTATTTTTTGTTACTGAAAACAGTCTGCAAAAGAGGTGACTTCTTTTCTCAGCAGCAGTGAACTCTGTGTGGCTCTCTTGTGCCACAGCCTGCTGCCAGGGGCTCTAACTTGAGAGGCCCTGCAAAAAAGGTACAAGAAGTTGATGAGGGGTGGACAGTGAGGGCTGTCCTGGATGCACTCCTGGCCAGTTACACCTCTGTGTGCATGTGTTGAATTTTTGGAAGAGAGCCCTTTCTTTCCTGTCCCCTTGGAAAACCTGCATTTTTGATCTTGTTTCCACAACCGGCAGCACTTTTCTCACCAGTTCTACTCTCCTGTACTTTTTGGCTGTCCAAATAACTCCTGCAGAACAGTTTACCGTGTCTTGCTCAATTAGCACTATATAAATTTATGGTGTTATATAGATGCAGATAGTACTGCTCCAGCCTCTTCAATGGTTATCTAGTTCTGAGTGCTGGCTACCTTTGCTGTCCTGAAGCTAATACTTAAAAATGTGCTTGCGGATAGCAATGTTAACATCAGTCAGGAAGATGGCAATAATTATTAACACTAATACTTTATATTTATGCTGGGTGGAGTGTAAGATAGATATACGTGTGTGTGTGTGTGTGTGTGTGTGTGTGTGTGTATATCTAAAAAGATATAATTTTTTTTCTTTTAGTTTCAAGGGAAATTATGACCTTAACTTCAGAACAGGGCAGGTTTGTGAAAGCTCTGAGACAATAGGTTGAGCAGGGAAACGAGATCGCAGTTTGAGAACGTGTAAAATATTTCATAATTAACCATACTGAGCACCCAAGATGTAACTACCATAAATTCCTCCACCTCAGAGTAAACCATTTTCTAAAAGGTAGTGAGCAACATAGCATTATCTTTGTACTGGCTAAGTGGATGGACTGTGTCATAATTTTTTTTAATGAACTTTGCAAGAATGTTTGGTTGAGAAAGTGAGAATCCTGAACAATTTGTTGGAAGAGCATGTTATTTCTGACATCCTTAATCTCAGCATCCTAAAAGCTAGTTGCACTTTCCTGTCCTTGCCATTGTAGATAAGAAAAAGGAGATTGTTCCAAAAGCCAATCCCATAGAGTTCCTCTCTGTAGTCGGGGTCTGTTTTTGTGTAGTTACAGAAATGAAGCTACATATTTATTGCGAAAAAGTAGCATATTAAATATTACATAGGTGTAACTTAATTTTTAATATTGCTGTTGGAACCTTAACTTTTACATTTCCTGATTTCTCCTATAAAAACTAACTTTGGTTTCGTGTTGAATGGGATTTTTCACATCTTTATTTAACTGGTGGGATGAAAATGGGCTGTTCTGGGTAAACAGATTGCTGCACCTTATTTACTAGAATTCTGAAACATGTTCCACTTCTTCCTTTTCACAGTTCTGTACATAAGCACACAGAAGAGGAGGATGTGAAGATGCCAAAAAAGGGATATTTTGTACTGAAGAACTTTTTTTTTCCCCCTGAATGATGAGACCTGTTTGATTTGTAGCTAGTGCTCTTTGGTTGAAAAATACAGCTGTTTAAATATTTCTTTATGTGCTGTGAAGCCAGATATACCACAGTGACTACTACCAGAAGGATGTTGCTTTTTTTTTTTTTTTTGTGTAAAGAAATACAATTGCATGTTTTTCTGGGTGCCTGATTTTTGAAGAAATGCTTTGTTCCACTGTGAACAAAGTGAAATAAATAAGTGGGGGTGGGGTAGAGAATGGAGAATATTTATTGCTGCAGTATTAATTGAATGGAACATTTGGTTTGGTTGCAGTTTGAGACTAACCGTGCATTATAATCTGGTTGCATTGGCAAAATTACCTCCTCAGTTCCTCCCGGCTAAATGTGAATGGCTTGGTGAAAATAACCTGTCCCTTGAAAGAGGGGGAATAAGGTCAGGTTTAAATTCCAAGCTACACTAAGAATCAGCAGGGTAAAAAGTTCAGCTGCTGACTAGTTAAATTAGCCAAAAAAAGCCCCCTTGAATTGTGTATTTGAATCGGGAATGTAACCATTGACACTTCAACAATGGGGGTAGGGAAAGAACTGAATCAAATGGAAGAAAAGCCCCCAGGGTTATCACTGTGCCAGCTATAGAAGTCAGTCACAAGTGAAAAGCTCTTCAGTTGGTATGCCAACGCAGCCAGCAGTCACTTCAAATCCTAGCAACTTTATTCCAGATTGCAGTTACTTTTGTATTTGGTTTTTTTTTTTCCCTGTGTCTTCTCTCTACCAGTGCATAGAAGTTTTTAAAATAAAGTTTAAAACACTGAGTTTTATTTTAATACATCTGAAGCTCTGGTTGTTTTTAGATGCTTAACGGATGAAGCTGTGTAGTCTCCATGTGGGTTCTGGTTTATATAAAACACACATTGTATGTCCTGTTCATGTCTGCATTATTCCCACTCGCTATTCTCTTCCTGCAGCACACACACATATGCCCATTCTTCAGCTACGTGCCAGCCAGAAATGTGAACAAATAGATATCAAGCTCTTAGCATGTGGTGCATGTTGGGAGGAAAGGAATCACTATGCAAGCAGGGAAGTCAAAACTGTTTGCTTGTATCCCACAGCAACTCTGAGAGATTAAATCAAAGACCAGTGAGGTTTTGGAGGGCTCCTTATTAGCTTAACATACTTTCCACCCCCCTTTCTCTCTCTCAGAATTAAAACTATTTTTTATTGCAATGATTAAAATACTGATGAAAATCAAGATGGGAACACTCCACTTCAGTGCTTAAAATGCTTTCCTGTTGTTCAGCATAAGGCTATCACTTGGGGTAATACGCTTCATGCTGAGGTTGTTTAACCAATTTGTTAATGAGGTTTTTTTTTCTGAAGCTCTGCTTTATTCTACAAGCAGTTTATGCTGCCATTAGGAACAACACGTTTCTGAGTTGTGGTTGAATGAGCACCAGACAATTGTGTGAATGCAGTGTTGGCGCATACTTCTCAAATAATAATAGGTTTTTGGTGCAAGTAGGCAATGGTAATATTTCAGTTACCTATGGGAGAATAAGGCATGGTCTCTCTCTCTCTCTCTCTCTCTCTCTCTCTCTCTCTCTCTCTCTCTCTTTTTTTTTCTTCCTTGAAAGACTAAGGAATAATTCCAAACAGTTATTTTGCAATTAATAGTTAACCTTTCTACATAAAATATTTCAGAAGGCTCTGCAGAGCACGCAAAAAGAGGCACCACTTTATAATATGCTTCAATAATTTATCATTTCTTGACAAGGGCTTGAAAAGGGTCCAGCATGTAAGTACAAATCACCAATTTGCTCTTCTGTAAATGACTTCTTTTAAGAAGAAAATGGATGTGCCTCCAAGTGGAGCATGCAGTTTCTCATTTGTTTTGTAATGTGTGTGGAACTGGCAGGTTACTGTGTCCGTTCATTCACTGAAATTGCTTTTCAAGGTAACTAATTTTGTTTGTGTGGGTTTTTGGTTTTGTTTTGTATTATTTTTCCATCCCCCCCCCCCCCCCCCCCCAAAAAAAAATCTGTAACATTTCATGAAGGTTTTATTTTTTTATTGTATTTAACTGAAGCTCCATTTTGGTAATTGCATATATAGAATTCTGTAATTGCAGTCCAGTTTCTATATAGACTTGGCCCTGGATTAACTTTTAATCATGGTCCACTACATCTGAAATGTCACCAGGACAAATGATTTGTAATCATGCAAGTTGTCTGACATCAAAATGGCACTTGGCTGATACTCTGCACTTCTTAACATTTTCTTATGTACTCTAGAAATGGAAATGAATAAAACAGGCAGCATTTTTTCCAAAGTACTGAAAAACTGTCGTGTTCAAATAGTAGAGGAGATAAATGGATAAGCATTTTTGTGTGTGTGTGTGAGAGATGGTTATGATGTTCAAACAGACATTCAATTTGATTGGCTTTTTTTTTTTAAATAAGTGCTTTTTCAGAGTAACCCTTACAGAAGTGTCCAGAAGTCAGTGGGAATGGGATGCCTGCTTCCTTTAGTCATTTCTGAAATATTTCATCCAATCTCTCCTTTGCCTCCCTCTTTATAATCAAATAGCTATTGGTGAACATTGTTCTGGTCTTTTACCAGGAATTCAAGTGTGTAGGATGTAACTTACTTTGTGCATTTGTCCACCTTGGATTTATTTTATGTGTCTGTTAAACTACTATGGTCTACACCACTGCAAACCCCAGCTGCAAGTGAATCAGGCAAGGGTAGTTGGCTTTCGGGATTACATCCAAAACACAACCCAAACATACTGTTACATTTTTTTATGAATTTGATATGAGCGTCTTCTGTGGGCAAAAGGAAAATAGAACATTCGTACAAGCATACATACGAAAGTGACCAGAATGAGTCACTTAATTGATTATTGTTTTTTAATACTTATAATCCTTAAGTTCTAATGATACTTTGTATGGAGTTGTGCATGCACCAACAAAAATAATTTTTGTTGTTTGACTATATAGTCTGCACAATTCTTCCCTGTGAGACATTGCTGATTCTCAATACTAACATGCTAATCCTTTGTATTAAATTGTAATGACAATCGGCATCAGAGTTGGTGAGGAAAAAATAGCAGTGTGTCTTTTGTGGATTAAATAATAGCACTGCAAATTTAAATAACTAAATTAAAATACTACAGTTCTTTATAACAGGACAAGGAATGTCATTTTCCACTAAACTAGTCTGACTCTCTTGCTTTTATATAAAAGGAAATACTTTTTCTCTGGAATTTACATCCTATATTAGCTTTCATCAGTTTTGGGTTTCTGTGGACTAATGCTGAATATGCCTACATGGGAATTATGAATGCAGGAAAAGAAGTCCCTGCTTTAGGAACAGCCCACATCTTTTTAAAGCTCAGTCATACATGTAGAATAAAAGGATGTGCTACATCATCTTTCTTCCTTACTCTTTGTCCAAAGTTAGATTCTAGGAGTGACTAGCGATATGTTTGATTTTTTTTTTCCCCAAATCTCATGTAAGCACTGTTTCCCACAAGTTTTTAAAAAGAAACCGGGTAAGTTAGCTGTGGTGTACTGCATCTCCAGAAATGAGAGAGAAAGGAAAAACAGTGGAAAAAGTCTTGTAAATATATAGCTCTTTACTAGGTGGAAGAGGGAGTTGCAGCTGGCAGTAGTCAAAAGCAAAATGACCATCTGAAGCCTGTAGCTGGCTTAAAATAAAATATCACAATTTTTCTATGGGCTTTTTCTCCTGCTACAGTTAGCACTGTCACTGCTGATGGTGCTTTTGCCTTTGCAGATTTAAATGTTAATGTTGTCATTGGCTTTTGAAAAAAGAACTTAAAATCCCGGTCTCTGGCCTTGGCAAGTAAAAAGGCTTTTTAATTCATCTTCCAAACTTTTTTTTCTTTGAATTGAGATGAGATGTGCATTCTGCATAATGGATGGAATTTCTAGTAATGGCTAAAAGGTAAGTGCTGTGGGTAGATCATGAGTGAAAGTAATCTGCTGTGTAAAAGCCTAGGCCTACAACATTATTGGACTTATCAACATGATAGCTAAGTTTCATGAAATATAAAGTGTGACTTAATGGCTTGTTTAAATTACTAAACCACTGTAGAATATAAAATTTTGCCTGGCACTATTCCAATCCCCGCCCCTCCCCCACCTCCCCTCCCCCGACATTTCCTTGCATCGCCCCATTGCATCACTATTTCCAGCGCCTTTCCCAGCATATGGCTGAGATTGGGGCATGGTTGGTAGCTGTCTGGTCAATACTTAATCCCCAAAAGGCAATGCTGTTTGGGAGATACTGCCCTCACCATCTCTTCTGGTTGTAACATCCTATGGAAGGTGTATGCCTGCCATTTGTTGGAAATCCCAGTTGGAGATCGCTGTGAGATGACCGCTGTAGTAACGACCACAACAGGCTTTTTTCCATGTATGCTTCAGTAGATGATTGTGAGCACATTTTCCTGACTTTGCTGCTGGTAAACCATGCCTGTTTTTCAAGTAAAAAATAGGCGGCAGTGTTGCGTTCTATATTGGACTGTGTATTAAACCCACCCAGAAGCTAAAAGTACGGAAAGCTGCATCGTTCTAAATAATGGCGTCGCTTGCTGGGAGCACATTGTACTTCTGGTCTCTGATCTATATTGTTTTCCTGCTGGGTTCCCTTCTTGTAAAAGCCACTCTTGAAACAGGTTTGGGAATCATTGCAGACAGTTCAATGAAAACCTCTGCTCGCTGTGTGATAACAACTGACAAAGGACACAAGTTCTTGGGGAAGGTAAAGGGGTAAGCAAAAGGAATGGGAAAAAATACTACTGAGAATGTTATGAGGCTGTGATATGAGATACAAGGCGACAGTACTCAATCAACTGGACTGCTGTGTGTAGTGACTGGAATTCAGTCTTAGTGGACTGAGCAGGGTAATAGGGTTCAAGAATTATATAAGGAGATACAAATATTTCTAGGCCTTCAGTTCCCCAAAAGAAAGTAACAACTGACTTGACAGGTTAGTTTAGAAAGGGGACCAAAAAAACCCAAAACCATGTGACAAAACAGTAGTGGTCCGGAGAAAGGAAATTAGGCTCTCCTGTTTACTCTTCCTGTAATACAAGCACAAGGGAAGTCAGTGAAACAGGAACAACAAAATTAAAGCCAGTAGGTTTTTTTGTTTGTTTGTTTGTTTTGTACAATTGTCCTTTGAAGCGCCCGCTGAATTTTTTTTTCTTTTTTTTTTTTTTTAAACCAAAAGATTGGTAGGATTCAAGGAAGAATATATCATTTATGTAGACCAAGAGATTGTCTAATTAATTTTTTAACTGATTATAAACAGTCATGTTTTGAGGCAGCTCAGCCATTAATTGTCAGGAGTCAGGAAGAAATTCCCTACCTATGCACCTTTTGGCATATATCATATCCCATATAACATGCCCCAGAATTAAGCTATGCACCTCATTTTTGAAAGGCAGAATGAAGGGAAGAAAAAGACATTCGCTTGCTGAGTAGCCCTTGTAAATCACATGGAGACTTACTTTTGCTTTTGCCTGACAAGCTTAACTGAAAGAAACTGCTGTTACTGCATTTCCTCACTTATAATGGACACCCCAATTTCCAGCAGCTTTTTATTTGGAAAAAAAGGGGGTGGGTTGTATGGGAGAAAATACTGTATATCCGCTATATCAGGGGCAGGCAATTAAGTTGGGCAGAGGGCTGCTTACTTAGTTTTGGCAAGCTGTTGAGGGCTGATGGGTAGCCCCACCCCTTGACAGGTGCCCCACCCCCTGGTCACCATCTTGGGACCAATGTTTCAGGGCCAGCACCGGTGGAGCCCAGAGCAGAGTACAGGCTGGCAGGTGTCTGTGGAGCTGAGTTGGGCTGCACCAGCAGGGAGAGGGGGGAGCTGGCCTGGCTTCATAGAGCCCCTGCTGGCCGACCCTGTACTCCTGCTGCCGTGCTCTGGGCACTGCTAACGCTGGCCCCAGGACCCCGGTGTGGGCCCTGGCACTCACGTGTTCCCAGTGCCCTCCCAGCCCCGCGGTACAGGCAGGAGCAGCATGCAGCCCCAACACCCCGCTCCGCAGCAGGGAACGAACTGGTGCTGAGCGCGAGGAAAAGCGGCCCCTCCACTGCACCGTGGCTGCTCCCTGCTGTCCTGAGCAGGCACAGGCAGAGGCCAGGGTGGAGAGGCAGCAGATGTTTGCAGCTGGCCCAGGTTCTGGGTAGCTGCTGATGGCTACAGAGCCTAGGCTGGGGCACAGGGCAGCAGGGCTGGGGGGCAGGGGCACAAGCAGGGCATCCTGCCCTGAACCCCCTGCCTTCATTTTGTTTTGAGCAGGCACAGGCAGCCCCATGCGGGCTGCGAGCAAGTGCAGTGCTGGGCATGGGGCGGGCAAGGGGCCGCTTTTCCCCAGCGCTCAGTACCAGCTTGTAACCCGTCCCCACTGCAAGCCTGGACCCCACGTCAGCTCCGGGCTTGCCTGTTGGGGCTGCACATGGCTGTGCCCCCCCCCCCCCCACTTGCCATGCCGGGCAGTGTTTGCCACCACTGCCTCTGGGCTGCCCAGCGCGTGAGCTCCAGGTGGGCAGCAGCAGTAAACGCTGCCTAGTGGGGCAAGCAGGGGGACTGCAGCTGCTGCAACCATGAGCAGCCCCAGTGGGCGAGCCCAGAGTGAGCACGGGGCCCAGGCTGGGAGTGGCGGTGGGTTACAAGGTGGTGCTGAGGGTGGTGGTGGGGAAGTGGCCCTGTGCCAGCCCTGTGGCCACTGCCCTGCACTGCAGCCGTTCACAGCCCGCTTGGAGCTGCGAGTGGCTGCAGCAGGGAGCGCTGGCCACGGGATGGGCGAGGGGACACTTTTCTCCAGGATCCTTCCCTGCTCTCCTCCCCACCTCTTACCTGAGGTTCTGGCTGGGGCAGCCACGTGGTCCCAGGTCAGAAGCCCCTGCTGGGACTTCCGCCTGGGGAGCAAGGCCAGGCGGGCTTCCCTTGGGTCATACTGCCCCTGGTTCCTGTCATTTTTTTTACAGGAACCAAAGACAGAGAAATAATAATTTTCTAAATTTTTTTAGGGGCCTTGGAGGCCGGATAGAATGGCCTTGCAGGCCGGATGCAGCCCATGGGCTGTATTTTGCCCACCCCTGCACTATATGGAGGTTCATCGTGTGCCTTGCCATGAAGTAGTTATTGGCTGATATTAAAGGCAGACTACTGGAGTAGGTGAGATGGTCTGGTCTGGTCTGGCAATTTCTATGTATCTAGCCTCAACAAAAAAATCCATTGCAATGAACAGCTTGTGGAACTTCAGGGTCCAGAGGCTGTTTTGAAGTGCTGGATAAACAGAGCGGCTAAATGTTTCTGCTAAAAAGAGCCTGATCAGCAGAGTTCTGAACCATGTTGAACTTTTTAATTGCTAACCTTAATGTGACAAGACTATTCACACCTCTTTTAATGTTATTGTACCAGGCTCTGTAGATCCAGGGATGAAGCACTGCATCACTTCACACTTGATTCACACTTGATTCACACTCTCAAAATTTGTAATCTAATTTTTTTTCAGTGCACAGTTAAATTATGGTGGAATAGTCTATGCCAGGGGTGCTCACTTTCCTGCTTGGAGGTCAGATCCAGACTGTGAGGCCTTATCATCCAGCCTGTGGTTCTTCCTATAGGTCTGAAAATGTGGTGAGGGAGCAGTGGCAGTACTAGTTGCAGCTCTCCTGTTGCCAAATTTCTGGACTTGTAGACAGTCCCAGGGGCTGGATGATGAGGCCCAGCACACTAGATTGTACCAGTGTGTGTCCAGAAACAGCATATGGCTGGATCCAGTGCCAGTTCTGGCCGATGAACTGCCCTGTGCCCACCCCCGGGTCCAGGGAGCCAGAAGTTTGAGCACCATTGGTCTATGCCAAGAACTGGATTTCACAATGGTGGAATACTGCATGCAAAAAATTATAACAAACATTATATATGCTATGGTTTATATGGTTACCCTGCAAAGTTTCATCAAAATAAATCATACACATTTCCTATTTAGTTTAATAGGAGAGCAAGCAAAGTACAATTCTAGGTTGCCAGTTGCTGCTGCTCTTCCTTCTAGATTGCCGTTTGTCTGTGCTTATTCCTACTGAGAGATTTTTATGTGATGGGCGCAACTATGTTCACCTTAATTTTAGATTTGAATCTAGTTTAAGTGCTTAAAACATCAGTGAGGATGTAACTTAAATGCTGCCTGAACTTTATCAAATAAGAGTATTTGGATTGGTTCATTCATGGCTAAAATAAATTTTGGTGTAGTTCTTTTGCTGAGCTTAGCAGTCAGAAAGTTCATGGGGAAAATAGCATTCTTTCCTCCCTGCAAACTCTAAATGTGGTTTGATTTATTTAAAATGCTCCCATCCGTATCATTAGATACATGTACTCATTTTTGTACAAAATTCAGGTGATTACAAATTGTAATAAAGGCAGATATGCAAGCTTTTGCATATTTGCCATGACTGGTTACAGGCAGATGGGCATTTGCAGAGCTACAAGTTCTGCAGCATTTCAAAGCACTAAAAATATAGCGCTATAAGCATGGACAGATGTGCAGTGCCCCCCCCACCCCAGCTGGAATACTATCACAGTAGTTTTGTAGTACTCAGTTTTGTCTTCCAGCCAAGAAGGCTAAAATGTTGCTTAACCCTGTGACTCTTCCATCTCCTCTCCCCATTGCTGCTCCCAGTGGAGGTGGGACCCTGTCAGTTAATTCAATCATTAGAATCATAGAAAATGAGGGTTGGAAGGGACCTCAGAAGGTCATTCAGTCCAACCCCCTGCTCAAAGCAGGATCATCCCAGCCAAGGCTTTGTCTAGCTGGGTCTTGAAAACCTCTAAGGATGGAGCTTCCACCACCTCTCTAGGTCACCTGTCCCAGTGGTTTACTACCCTCCTAATGAGAAAATTCTTCCTAATATCTAACCTAAACTTCCCTTGCTGCAACCTGAAACTGTTGCCCCTTGTTCTGTCATCTGCCACCACTGAGAACAGTCTTTTATCCTTTTTTGAACCCTGCTTCAGGTAGTTGAAGGTTGCTATTAAATCCTTCCTCAGTCTCCTCTTCTCTAGACTAAATAACCTAAGTTCCCTCAGCTTGCCCCCATACATCATGTGCTCCAGCCCCTGAACCATTTTTGTTGCCATCGGCTGGACTCTCTAATTTTTCCACATCTTTTCTGTAGTGGGGGTCCCAAAACTGAACACAGTACTCCAGATGTGGCCTCACCAGTGCTGAATAGAGGAGAATAATCACTTCCCTTGATCTGCTGGAAGCATGTACCAATGCAGCCCAGTATGCTGTTAGCCTTCTTGGCAACAAGGGCACACAGTGGGCTCATTCAGCTGCTTCTCCACTGTAACCCTAAAGTCCTTTTCTGCAGAGCTGCTGCCCAACCAGTCAGTCCCCAGCCTGTACTGGTGCATGGGATTGCTCTGTCCTAAGTGCAGACTTTGCACTTGTCCTTGTTGAACCTCATGAGATTGCTTTTGGCCCAATCCTTCAATTTGTGTAGGTCGCTGAATCCTAGCCCTACCCTCCAGCGTATCTACTCCCCTCAGGTTGGTGTCATCTGGAAACTTGCTGAGGGTGCACTCTGTGCCATCTTCCAGGCAATTGGTGAAGATATTGAACAAAACCAGTCCCAGGACCGACCCCTGGGGCCCTCCACTTGATGCCGGCTGCCAACTAGACATCGAGCCATTGATTACTACTATGAGTCTGATGCTTCAGTCAGTTTTCTGTCTACCTTACAGTCCATTCATCCAGCCCATACTTCCTTAGCTTGCCTGCAAGAATGGTATGGGAGACCAATTAAAAGCCTTGCTAAAATCAAGGTATACCACATCCACTAGTCTCCCTGCATCCACAGAGCAGTCATCTCATCAGAAGAACCCAGGTTGGTTAGGCATGACTTGCCTGTGATGAATACATGCTGATTGTTCCTAATCACCTTCTCCCCCCCAGTGCTTAGAAATGGATTCCTTGAGGATCTGCTCTTCGATTTTTTTCAGGGACTGAGGCAGTGGCGATGTGTAGGGGGTGCACGTGCACCCCTGAGAGCACTGGTGCTCGCCTTGACTGCCTGCACTCGCTGCTTAGGTGATGGGCAGGGGGGCAGGCGGGTGCACCAATGCCCCCATCTCCCTGCAAGCGCCAGACAGGGAGTGGAGTGCCGTTGCGCTCCCAGAGGCAGCTGCAGCCACTTCTGGAAGCGGCTGCAGCGATCAGCCACCTGGTGATCAACCACAGGGGGACAGCCCCCCTACTAAGGCGGCACCAGTCGCCCATGGACTGAGGTACGGCTGGCTGGTCTGTAGTTCCCTGGATTCTCCTTTTTCCCTGTCTTAAATATGGGCAGTATGCCCAATTCCAAGCAGCCAGGACCTCTCCTGATTCCCATGAGTTTTCAAAGATGATGGCCAATGGCTCTGCAATCTCATCAGCCAACTCCCTCAGCACACTGGTACATCCCATCCGGCCCCATGGACGTCCAGCTTTTCTAAGCAGCCCCTAACCTGTTCTTTTATCACTGAGGGCTGCTCACCTCCTCTCCAAACTGCTGCCCGATGTAGTAGTCTGGGAGCTGACCTTGCCTGTGACAACTGAGGCAAAAAAGGCATTGAGCACTTCATCCTTTTCTGCATCCTCTGTCACAAGGTTGCCCCCCCACATTATATAAGGGACCCACACTTTCCCTGATTCTCCTCTTGCTACCAACATACTTGTAGAAACCTTTCTTGTTACCCTTCACATCCCTTGCTAGCTGCAACTCATGCCCACTCCTCCATTGCCATCACAAAGGCAAGCAGGTAGCAAGGACCAAAGCTGCCTCCCAGTACTAGGAAGGGTGACCAGGCAAGTTGTCAGTAACCAAAGCAGGGAAGTGGGGGACAGGGCAGGCTGGCAGTCATCAATAGGCAGTGAAGGAGGGAAGGACAGCAGATCAGAGCACTATGGTACATTGGACCTACATTTTGTAGTGCTATACACAATGTCTAAGTCCTGTTTCATTTGAGAATAAGTTTGTAGCGCTACAAAAACGTCTGACTGTACCCTAAGACTTCCTTCCCCCATCCCCTCACCCCATTCACTTCATTGCGGCCACTGAAGGAAAAGGTAAAATGGGCTTTATGGTATATTTGGATGATCACTGAATTTAGGCACTGGGAAAGGATAAAACAGTTTCAGCTGCGAACAGAATTAGCATGAGATCATCTCTCCATCTCATTTGCGGAAACAACCGCTTTCCTTCAAAGCTTTTATAGTAATACCATTCAAAACTAGCACCTTGATTTGTACTTGGGAAGGCTTGGGAATTCGGCGCAGACCACAAAACACAGGGAGCGCTACTTCCCGGAAGAGAAGGGTGTGCTGTGTTCTGCATCAGCAGGTCAATTTCCAAATGGTTTTCAGGGCAAGCTTGAAAGAGAGTCCATTATTAATCCAAGTTGGAGGTGACTAGAGAATAACTGTCTGAGTCATTGCATGAAGGAAAAGATTACAGTCAGTTGGAAAGAGAATGAAAAAATGCACCCTTGGTCACTGGGGCTACCTGGACATTTAAAAGCAGGCCAGGATTCAAATAGTGTTCTTGATTTACAAACTTGTATTTTGGAGGTTGGACTTGTTCATTCAACTAAAGTAGCTGAAAGGAATTCCTCTGCTTATTCTCCTTCCTTGCCAACCACCCCTTCCCCCCGCAACATTGCATCCTTTTAAGGTATGCTGAGTCTCTGCTAGCTGCCTCCATATAGGCTTCTACCTCTACTGGGAAAAAGAATGAAGCAGATGTCCAACTGAGTGTTGCCCATGCCCTGAAATCAACTCCGAAGGCAATGTCTGGCTATTCTGTTCTTTACTGACCGCTGACCAGGAGAGAACTCTGGATCCTGGGTGAGAGACTTTTAAGCACTGATGAAAAATCACCCAGTGCTGCCCTTTGGGAACAGAAAATGGGAACCAATCAAGCTGACTGGTCTATACCAGCAACAGAATCATAAGTTCTTCATGTATCCAAGATACAGTGATGCAAAAATACAGCATCAAGATTTGGACCCTAAATCTCATCTACTGCTACTGCTCGGCAGTTTCTTGCCTATTATTAAGAGCACAGTTTGTATTCTCTGGTCTATTGAAGCTGGAGTGATGGTGGTTGAGGGAATGTGAGGACTTTGGATATTGCCAGATTCGCTTTGTAAGATGATGCCGGGGTGCCTGCATAAAGGCAGGAGATTACCAACAGGGAGATTATTTTCCAAATCGGGAGCAACGTTGTTCAGCCAAGACTTTGAAAACTTTTGTTTTTAAAAGATTCTGTCCCTTGCCGCTGCCTTAAGGAGTTCTTGACAAATACCAGTTCTGATGTACACGATCTGCCTTAAATCTGGCTGAGACATTTTCAATACTCAGAGAGAGGTAAAAATCAAAGCATGTTTCCTAAGTTTGTTGCATTTTTTTTTAAAATTTATTAACATAGCGTTACAGGGCAATGCCTCTTTCATCCCCCCCATCCCTTGTATTTTGTCTTTTTGTCTGGGAATTTTGCCTAGGAGCTATATACAGCTTATGCACTCCCAAGTCTACTTCCAAACAGAATAGGATTTTGGGGTAGGGCCTATAGTCACAGCTAGCACCAGAGAACCAAAGGCGGCGGGACAAAACGAACAAGGAGTGGTAGTTCTTTAACTCAGAATTTCCTGGTCCTGGTGGGTTTAAGTCAACCAGCTGCTTATGGTTCCTGTAACAGTGCACAGGAATTGTTTTTGTATTTATTTCTAGTGGCATTTTGTTTTTAACGTAGAGTTAAAGAGGGAGAAGATATTCAGACAGTAGGCCTTAAGGATTAAAAGAAGCTGGCTTGGCTTTGTTTTGCAAATCTTCACCATGACAGGAGGAAAAAAAAAAAAAAGAAGAAATAGAGACTTGTCTAATTGAGCAAAGGAATCCCAGGGTGACCCTATAGAGAACCTATTGCTTTTTCCTTTCCTTTCTTTGCCTTTGTTTTCATTACAGAGGCTTGGGGGCAAAGGAAAAAAAAACAGATTGGAGCGGGTAGGATATGAGGAGGAAAACTAATATGATTAAGGCTGGATTTGGACACTGATGGCAAGTTCCTGTAAGTACTGAGCATTCGTAGTAACAGCTGTTGCACTTCTCATTAGAGGAGAAGTTGAAGAACTTTTCTTAAAGGATGTTTCTTTGGCAGGCTGAAGGGGAAACAATCGCAGTGAGCCTGAAGGAATACATGTCCCAAGGTAAGTGTGTGGTAATGCCAGGGAGCAGAATTGCAAATGGTGTTGGGGTACTAAGTCCTCCCTCTGATAGTGTTAGGACAGTGATTTTTAACCTGGGGATCCACAAAAAAATGACTTTGATCAATCAAAAGTGTGCGACTACCCACACTTACAATTCAAAGGGGTCTGCACCTCCACTGGAAATTTTTGAGGGGTCCAAAAATGAAAAAAAAAGGTTGAAAACGGCTGCATTAGGAGGTTGTAAAAAGGTGCAGATAGCTGAGGAAAAAATGGAGGGGGGTGATGAGGAGAAGAGGGGTTCGTTCAGGTGAAATGGGAATGGAAAATTGCTGTTCAGAAGTCTTTTGACAAGCCTCAGGAGATCCGGGATGATTTGGGAGAATCCAGGGAGGGGAGTGACTTTGTCCGAACCAGTCGTGTGGCACCCACCCTCTTTTCTGTTTAGGGTTGGAAGATAAAGGGGGATCCTCTGTGTTGCTAGAAGCTCCGTTTGGTGCCCAAATGATTGCAGCAATGGGGCATTATAGAAGGTTAATCGCTGCCCATCTGCTGCATGCTCGAGTGTGGGAGCAAACCGTGTCACGCAGAGTGGAAGTTTTTCAGTCTCTTGGCAAATGCAGATCTGATGAGAATGGATTGATAAGCTAGACTTCCCTTGGTTCCCCCCTGATTTATTTACACTTCTTTACTGATAAAGGGCATAAGGAAATCTAAGCTGCTATAATTTATGTGTTGAAAAGGCTAAGAGGCATGCATTAAACTAGAGAGAGCCTCCTTTAATATGCTTGTTCATTCTTGGCCTTGATAAATACTTGTGTATACTTTCTCTATCATCACTTTCAAATATAAACGATAAGAAACAGGAATAATTATATTTTGTCTCTGAGGAATCTAGCCAATGAGACAGAGAAAGAGGAGCCTAGGTGTTCGGGGTTAACAGCTTTGTAGAACATGTTTGCTTGGCTTAATGTTAGACTTTAAGGAAGAACTGATACTAGCAAAATAGGTACGTATTTTGGCTTCAGATGTTGGTTTCAAATACCATACCTCTTACGTTTCACAGTTAACAAATGCAGTTTTAAAAGATGAAAATCTGAAAAATATTTTCTGACCCTGGTTAGCAGAGGTGTTCTGGAATTGGATGCAGCCCGTGCCTCCAGGGCCTTGAAGAACCAGTGTGATTATTCTGAGGGCTGCAAATGCTGTCTCCCCTGCCCACTCCCATGTGGCACCGTGCCCACCTATAGACTGTCCCTACTTAGCAGTGCAGAATCAGCTGCTACATGGAAAGTTTCAGGGGGCATATATGACCGTTTCCATGGAGCAGTTCTACTGTATTCTGTAGGCCAGGGCTGTCCAACTGGTGGCCTACAGGTTGCATGCAGCCCATCTGGGGTCCCCTGGCTATGCCTCCCTGCCCAGCCCTCCTTATTGCTCTGACTGCTACAGAAGCTAGGTCTTCAGGCTTATCCCTTCTCTCTCCAGGGTCTGCACCAGGGCAGGGCAGCTGGGTGTAGCCCAGCTTGCAGTGCTAGGGGAGTGTTAAGGAGGTGATGGGGTTGGGGACCTGCCTGTCTGTGTAGTGCAATGATGGGGGGCTGCCTGCCTACACACAGGGGGAGAGGGTCCATCCACCTGCGTTGTTCCAGGGGAGCTTGTAGCCAAGGAAATGCCCTGGGTGGGGTGAGGGGAGGGAATTGTGGCCCTTGCTGGTCACAAGGGTCACTGGTCCTTGCTGGTCACTCCCATGACTAAGTTTGACAGCCTTGCCTTAGATTATATGGGATAAGGATTTTCCTCTTCCCCATATCTAACGTACTGCCCAATGACAGAGGCAGGATAATAGTTGTTGGCTTTGGCGTGCTGTATGGCTTTGTAAGCACTCACACAAACCTTGCCACTTATACTAATGGCAAATGGGATACTTCAGAGGGATGACTTCTCAGCGGCTTCACTCTCAGGAAAGCATAAGAAAGAATTCCTCTGGGGACCCTTTTTACTAGCCTCCACTGTTTACTTCTCAACGTGTGTCTTTTTGTGCAGGCTTAGTGGGCCACAGAGAAAGTGGGCTTTTCTTCCTCTCTTTCGGAGTTGTTAGGAATTACTATTCTAGAGGTAATTCAAGGTGGCATGTCTGCTGATTTGTATCTACCTAGAAGTTATTGATTTGAACTTAACCTAGAATATAATGCCTGATGTTTTAATAACACAAGATGGAAGATGGAGTGAGCGTCCAGACAGTTCTTGTTGGATGGGCGTGCACAACCCTGTGCTTGGTTTCATACACTGCTGCCTTCTCCCACGGTGCGAGCCTTTCTGCCTGTGCTGACATGACGCCCAAACATATCAGAGCGCAGCTTCAGAACCCCAGGAATAACTACATCGCCATCCACACCAACATGTCTTCCTACTTTCCAGGTGATAAGGTACCAGGTAAGAGAGAACCACTGACTTTATAGAAGGTTTGTGAAAAGTCACCAGGGCGCTTACAGATCCACCCTGTTGCAGCTTGCAGCCACAGATTCAAATCGGTGCTGTCCTGATCCTGAATTCTCTGCACCTAGCACAAAAATTTTCTGGACAGCACTCTTGACTCAAGGCAATTATTTAAGAAGAAACATTCATGTGCATAAAAAACTCATAATTGCTAATCTCAGGTATGTTGCTCATCCTTCTGAGCAATGAGAAGAGGAGTAACTCGTGCACGGCATTGCTATGAGCGAATTGTACCTTTGGCCCATGGACCAGATGACCTGTAGGAACAGAATGTAACTACCATATTTACTCATATACCGTGCACACCTTGTTCTCAAAATAAGTCCTTCAGAGTTGGTGTGTATTTTAAACAGGGAAGCTGATTTTTCTGCCTGGAATAAAAGCATGGAGATGCCGCAACAAGGCTTCTGCTCTTCTTCCTGCCCCCAACCCCAAGCTGGCAATGTCGAGGGAGGGCTGGAGTGCAGTCTTCAGTAGAAACTACAGTTTTAACCCTTTCACAGCCACTGCAGAAATGGCAGGAAAGATTAGCTGAGCAGCCAAGAGCTGTTGCCAGTTAGGCAGCAATGGAGAGAAGATGAAAACTGTAGCTTTTGCCTGAGCAGGAAAGGATTTAGTGAGTGAGCTGAGGATTAGGCTCTGTCCCTGTTCCTTGTGGCCATACCTTTAGAAAAAAAATTCTTCATTTTGCCTTCCCAAAACAAGATGCACATCTTATTTGGGGTCATGTGGTATGTGAGAGACAACTATTTAAAAAAATGCAGTTAAGGAAAAACCTGACCACTTGGCATCCTCCACCCTGCTCACCCACGTATTCATTCACATTTAAAGTGATATCTCTTAAACAGCACATGTTCTTTTGCAGACAGCCATGGAGTATAAGGATGTATTTTGTTGATAAACCCTATTCTTTCTAGTATAAACAGATTAGCAGTTTGTCATAAAAATGACATGAGCATTTTCATGCAACTTTTTTTTAAAGATCAAAAACCAAAGACTCTTCGTGTATTTTGAATGCTCAGGACAGAAATATGAAAGCAAACTGGGTGGGTAGTTTCCACAGGGGTTCACCAATGCTGCAGCCACTAACTCTTTGGCAACTAAAGTGCAAGTGGATTCCTTGATAAACTGCTCTTTATACCACATCTTGTGTTGCAGTGACAGTGAGGAGCACTCGAGATTTCATGGGCTTTTTGCTCCAAGCTCGCAGGGTGTCTAATGATCAAATTGCTGGCACTTTTGTTGTAATTCCTCCTGGCTCCAAACTGCTGACGTGTTTTGAAGATGGCGATACTGTTACCCACTCTGACAAGTCACTGAAGAGAAACTTGTCCTTTGTGTGGAAGGCACCAGACCACCCCATTGGAGACATCAAATTTTTGTAAGAATATATGGTTATTTCTCAGAATTCAAACTTTATGAGGGAAGTCCACTGACGTTGGGGTTGTTTTGATTGGTTTCTTTTTTTTTCTCCAGCAAGTTCACTGTGCTTTGATATTTCTTTAGCTCAGAGCAGTGAAATGTTCACCAAACAATGGGGCAGTTCTTCAGCTGGGGGAAGTCAATGAAACTTTGATAACTTTACCCCTGGTGAGAATCTGCGTCCTTGAAATGACCTAGTCTGCTGTCTCCTACAAATATACTAATTGGCAGATGAGAAGGACAACCCAAACATGTCAGAAATTGATTAATATATTCATCAGTTATAAGGTCAGAAACACGACCACTGTAATCACTTAACTCAGGGGTGGGCAAAATGCAGCCTGGAGGCTGGATGCGGCCTGCCAGGCCATTCTATCCAGCCCATGGGGGCCCCCCCAAAATTAAGAAAATTGATATTAATCTGCCCCTGGCTGCCTGTCATGTGGCCCTCGATGGCTTGCCAAAACTCAGTAAACGGCCCTCCCCCCGAAATAATTGCCTGCCCCTGATATAATGGGAACAGTCGGACAAACCTGCCTCTATGAGTATAAACAGATATTGTATTTTCCTGGGGAAAGGCCTTTTATCCTGAGATCCTATATGAGTGCTAACACTTCCTGCTCCTCCTGCACCTTCCTCTCTGCGATGCTCTGTACATTTGTAAATGAATCCCCGGTTATTCAACTTAATTATGAGCCATTCCAGGGGCAAACCTCCCAGGCTATGTTCTCTCGCTGGCCACCTACTGGCAGGGGGCAGCAATGGAGCTTGGAAGGGCTGCATGTGTAAATGGCTGGTCCCCTCCTATTTTGATCTGGGTTAAAACATAACACAATCAGGACTGCCTCAGATGAGTCTGTTTACTGCCTGTGTGGCACAATCTGCCCTGCCCTACTGCTAATCCTCTTAGAAAAGTTGTATTTATTTGTCTTTAGTTGCCACCCTGCCAATGGACGAGAGGAGAAGAATTAGTGACATTTTGCACTGATAGTGCCCCTCATGCCCCTGCTTTACATGTGGAAAGCTAAAGAGTATTTGGATATTATGCCTGGTAGTCGTGTGTGAGGGTTGTCCCTGGAGTTTTTAAGAACAGGTTAGACAAACCAGGGTGATTTAGATCCTCAAGCAGGGAGTTGAAGTTATCGACCTCCTGAGGTTACTTCCAGTCCTGCTTTTCCATGATCTACGTTTCAAAAAGAAAAAGTCATTTTTCAAAAAAAAGTTTCCCCACATTTTCCCCCACCCTAATGATAAACATCTCTTCACACTGATGTCTTTCTTATAGTTTCTAGTGCATTTTTGCATTCAATATAAAAAGTGTCAGGGGCTAATCCTTTAATTTTTTGGCTGAATTTGTGTTTTTTTTACATGAAAATAAATCCTTTAGATTTTAGCTACATGTTGCAATA